TAGCCAGGATGGTCTCGATCTCCTGACCTCGTGATCCGCCCGCCTCGGCCTCCCAAAGTGCTGGGATTACAGGCGTGAGCCACCGCGCCCGGCGATCACTATTTTTAAAATCAAGTCTGTGTTCCTGATTTTCTGGAATCATAAAAGATTCCAGTATCTCTATCCCAAAACATATATATAAACACATTAACCTCACAATTGCATGGTATAGTGAGGCATGGGATCCTATCAGAATATAGAATAGCTGTAACCGCTTTTATTTTTCCCTATATTTAAGAAGAAGTTCCCCGGGAGCTCTTTCCTTCTAAGAGGGCATAACAGGTAAATCTAGATAGTTACACATGACTTTTCCATCCAGTTTAAGTGGTAAGAAAGCAAGATAGTGTCTTTATCACTGGAGTTATTTCCAAGTTCCATGGATTTCTATGAGTTTCTTTTTATGCTGTCTCCCTCAAACTAACAGAAAGTGGGCTGCACGAGGCATGGTGGTTCATACCTGTGATCCCAGTGCTTAGGGAGGCCACAACGAGAGGATTGCTGGAACTCAGGAGTTCGACACCAGCCTGGGCAGCATGGTGAGACCTATCTCTACAAAAAATTTAAAAACCAGCTGAGTGTGGTAGCGCACGCCTATGATCCCGGCTACTTGGGAGGCTGAGCCTAGGAGGTCAAGGCTGCAGTTAGCCGTGATTGAACCACTGCACTCCAGCCTGGGCAGTGAAACAACACCCTGTCTTTATTTTATTTTATTTTATTTTATTTTTTTATTTTTTGAAACAGAGTCTCCCTCTGTTACCCCAGCTGGAGTGCAGTGGCGCAGTCTCGGCTCTGCAACTTCCACCTCACAGGTTCAAGCGATTCTCCTGCCTCAGCCTCCCAAGTACCTGGGATTACAGATGCATGCCACTATGCCTGGCTAATTTTTTTGTATTTTTAGTAGAGTCGGGATTTTGCCATATTGCCCAGGCTGGTCTCCAACTCCTGAGCTCAAGCAATCTGTCCACCTCAGCCTCCTAAAGTGCTGGGATTACAGGCATGAGCCACCGCGCCTGGCCCAGACCGTGTCTTTAAATAAATTAATACAGCGGGGAAACTCAGTAGCATATATTTGTAGTTCTACTTTTTCTTTCTTTTTTTCTTCTTTTTGAGACGGAGTCTGCCTCTGTCATCCAGGGGGAGTGCAGTGGCGCAATCGTGATGGCTCACTGCAGCCTCCGCCTCCTGAGTTCAAGCGATTATCCTGCCTCAGCCTCCTAAGTAGCTGGGACTACAGGTCCGTGCCACCATACCTGGCTAATTTTTGTATTTTTAGTAGAGACAGGGTTTCACCATGTTGGCCTGGCTGGTCTTGAACTCTTGACCTCATGATCCACCCACCTCAGCCTCCCAAAGTGCTGGGATTACAAGCATGAGCCACTGCGCCCGGCCTCTTTTTTCTCTTTTTTTTTTTTGAGACAGAGCCTCACTCTGTTGCCCAGGTTAGAGTGCAGTGGTGCTTGCAACCTCAAACTCCCAGGCTCAAATGATCATCCCACCTCAGTCCCTGGAGTAACTGGGAGTACAGGCACCACCACACCCAGCTAATTTTTGTATTTATTTTTAGAGACAAGGTTTTGCATTGTTGCCCACACTGGTCTTGAACTCCAGGGCTCAAGAGATCCACCAGTCTCAGCTTCCTAAGGTGCTGAGATCACAAGCGTGAGCCACCATACCTGGTCTTGTAGTTCTACTTTCAAATGGCAGAAGTAGCCACAGTCTTCTCATCATTCTTTTTCATTCATTCATTGACAGGATCTTGCTCCGTCTCCTAGGCTAGAGTGCAGTGGTAGAATCATGGCTCCCTGCAGCCTCCACCTCTTGAGCTTAAGCAGTTCTCTCACCTCAGCCTCCCAAGTAGGTGGGACTACAGGCACATACCACCATGCCTGACTAATTTATTTTCATAGAAACAGGGTCTCACTATGTTGCCCAGGCTGGTCTCAAACTCCTGGGCTCAAGCTATCCTCGCACCTCGAATTCCCAAAGTGCTAAGATTACAGGTATGAGCCACCACACCTGGCAAGAGGGTTTTGCTATGTTGCCCAGGCTGATCTAGAATTTCTGGCCTCAGGTGATCCTCCCACCTTGACCTCCCAAAGTGTTGAGATTACAGGCATGAGCCACCACGCTTGGCCTATGAGGGATTTTATACCCAATTTATTATAGGCAAATTCAAGAAAATTAGCATCCCATAAAAAGCTTCAAGTCTTTTTCATTGCCATTTTAGCTCAGTTGACACTTCCGGGAGACTAGTTCATAGTTAGTCAGCCCTTTCCTCACTGGGCATTCCTTGGTGTTTCCTCCTGCCTGTACAGGAGTGGTCTTTACTTCCCCTTAATGAGAAGTACAGGCTTAGTGGAAGAGTCTCCAGAAGCGGAACTTCCCTGAACCACAGCTTTGCTAGGAGATGCCCTAGAGGATTTCAAATCTATGGTTGTATTTACTTAGAGCCTTCTCCTTCCCACTAATCTCTGACTTAAGAGATCTCAGAATTAGCTAAATTGGACCTGACATCTTGGCAATGTAGAAAAAATGAGGCAGAAATGAAGCCACCTTTGCTGTTGCTCACCCTCCTCAGACTGGGGAAAAAGAACCACTACTACCTTCTCTAATGTAGTAGATACCACATTGTCTTTAATTTACTCAGCTAGCTATCAAGAAGGTTTCTGAGGGTTAAGGTAGCAAGGGAAGATCTTGAAACAAGCAGTTGCTTCACCAAGAAGCCTGGGATATGGAATAGATAGAACAAAGGATCCACTTTGTTATGAAACTGAACTGCAATGCCAATGCTCCTGTCTTGGTACAGTGTCAAGGCCATTATCTCAGATGGTTTATTGTTCCCTACAAGGCCATTTACAGCTCCACAGTTCTGTGAGGTGATTGCATCACTGCCAGGAAAGTGCTCTCTTTCCTTTCTGGTTTTCTCCAGTCTTGCTCCTAAGACTCATTTATTTCACCAATCAGATGATCAGCCTTTCTTTTCTTTGTTACCCCAAAACCCTTATCTGCCTGATACATCCAGTAGCAGATTTTGGGATGAGATCACCATCAAGCATGGTGAGTTTCCCAGAAAATACCTTTCCTATCTGGTTTGCAGTACTCGAATAGCCAGTTTGTCTTTGTTTGCCTTTGATAATTGGGTAATCTAGTCATCCTTGTTGGCAGAGAAAGTGTTCACAGCTCTCCAGTGGCCAGCAGATTCAGGAATCATTTTGATTTCCTGAAAAATATTATAATATTTGCATGGATTTAAATGACATCTTTTTTTTCAGGTCTTTATAAATATTTGCTTACCATTGGTGAAGCAGGTATTGTCTTCATCTTATAGTTGGGGAAACAGAAGCCCTGAGAATTACCAACAAAATGATTTGGCCAGAATTGTACATAAAACATAAGGGGCCCACATTTCTTGGCCAGGCGTGGTAGCTCACACCTGTAATCCCAGCTACTCGGGAGGCTGAGGTGGGAGAATCGCTTGAACTCGGGAGGTGGAGGTTGCAGTGAGCTAAGATCATGCCCATTGCACTCTAGCCTGGGCAACAAGATCGAAACTACAGGCCAGGCGTGGTGGCTCACGCCTGTAATCCCAGCACTTTGGGAGGCCGAGGTGGGCGGATCACTTGAGGTTGGGAGTTCGAGACCAGCCTGACCATCATGGAAAAACCCCACCTCTACTAAAAATACAAAATTAGCCGGGCATGGTGGCATGGCTGTAATCCCAGCTGCTGGGGAGGCTGAGGCAGGAGAATTGCTTGAACCCAGGAGGTGGAGGTTGTGGTGAGCTGAGATTGTGCCATTGCACTCCAGCCTGGACAACAAGAGCAAAACTCCATCTCAAAAAAAAAAAAAAAGATCGAAACTACGCCTCAAAAAACAAAACAAAACAAACATAAGGGGCCCACATTTATTTGACATGCAGTTCAGTGCTTTGAACAAGAGCTGAACTTCTTAGAAGCATATTCCCTTATCTTGGAAATGGGAAGGTATAGATTCAACCTGAAAGGAATCACAGGGTTAAACTCTGTTCATTTTTCTTTCACAACAGGCTGCTGCTGGGCCCCTTGACATGTCTCTACCTTCCACACCAGACATCAAAATCAAAGAAGAAGAGCCCGTGGAGGTAGACTCATCCCCACCTGATAGCCCTTCCTCTAGTCCCTGTTCCCCACCACTGAAGGAGAAGGTAAATTCTGTACCAAGGGTCATCTCAAATGTTAATTGATAAAGCTTTGATTCATTAATTATATAAATAGTGTGTCCTAACTACTCAGGAGACCAAGATGGTAGAATCACTTGAGCTCAGAAATTCAAGACCAGCCTGGGCAACACGGAGAAAGAAACCCCATCTCCACTTAAAATCCGTAAATTACCTGGGCGTGGTGGAACATGCCTGTAGTTCCAGCTACTCGAGAGGATGAGGTGGGAGGATCACTTAAGCACTGGAAGTCAAGGCTGCAGTGAGCTGTGATTGCTCCACTGCACCCCAGCCTGGGCAACAGAGTGAGACTGTCTCAAGAAAAAAAAAAAGTATGTGTTATAGGAGGACTGATTATATTTAAAGGAATGATATTTAGAAGATTTCTGTAAATTATACCTATTCTTTTTCCCAGCAATTCCATTTATAAGTCTATATAGAAGAGAAATTAGTGCATATGTCTACCAAAAGAAGTATGTTAGAATGTTCATAGCAATTGTATTCTTTTTTATTTATTTTATTTTATTTATTTATTTTTTATTTTTTTGAGACAGAGTCTTGCTCTGTCGCCCAGGCTGGAGTACAATGGCCTGATCTTGGCTCACTGCAACCTCTGCCTCCTGGGTTTGAGCGATTCTCCTGCCTTAGCCTCCCAAGTGGCTGGGACTACAGGTGCATGCCACCACGCCCAGCTAATTTTGTACTTTTAGTAGAGATGGGGTTTCACCACGTTTGTCTTGAACTCCTGACCTCGGGTGATCTGCCCGCCTCGGCCTCCCAAAGTGCTGGGGTTATAGGAGTGAGCCACCGTGTCCTGGCCAGCAATTATATTCTTAATAGCCAAAAATCAGCTGGGCACGGTGGCTCATGCCTGTAATCCCAGCACTTTGGGAGGCTGAGGCGGTGGAATCACTTGAGGCCAGGAGTTCGAGACCAGCCTGGCCAACATGGTGAAACCCCGTCTCTACCAAAAATACAAAAATTAGCTAGGTGTGGTGGCGTGTGCCTGTAATCCCAGCTATTCGGGAGGCTGAGATAGGAGAATTGCTTGAACCCAGGAGGCCGAGGTTTCAGTGAGCCAAGATTGTGCCATTGCACTCCAGCCTGAGTGACAGAGCGAGAGTCTGTCTCAAAAAAAAAAAAGTAAACTGATAATTACACAGCAATGTGAGTGAATCCCACAAACATATCCAACAACAACAAAAAAAGTCATACACAAAAGTACATACTGTATAATTCAAGAAGAGGCAAAACTGTTTGACGATGATAGAACTCAGGATAGAGTTTACCTCCTGTGAAGGAATGATGTGGATTGGAAAGGGACATAGAACTTTATGGGGTGCTGGAAATGGTCTGTATCCTGATTTTACATCTGTAATAAGTCATCTTGTTGTTGTTTTTTTTCTTTTGAGACATAGTCTCGCTCTGATGCCCAGGCTGGACTGCAATGGTGCAATCTCAGCTCACTGCAATGTCTGCCTCCCAGACTCAAGCAATTCTCTTGCTTCAGCCTCCCAAAGTGCTGGGATTACAGATATGAGCACCGCACCCAGCCTAAAAGTCATTTTGTTGTTATGACTTTAATGCACATCACTATATGTTATACTTCAATTAATAAGTGAGAAAGAAAAATTCACATAATTCATAAATGACATCAAACAGTTTAGAAAAAAATGTCATCCTAGAGGGAAGTGATTTAAAGAAAGTATCTACTAGGAGTCTTATTATTCTTTTTAAAGGAAGTACTTTCATGAAGTACTATTTCTAATACATTTATTGAAATATAGTACATGTACAGAAAAGTATATAAATTGTAATTATATAACTTACTGAATTTTCACAAAGTCAATAGCCTGTATAACCAGCACCTAGATCAAAAATATTTTATTAGAACCTCAGAAGCCCCCTCATGCTTCCTCCTCCTTTCAATCTCTGCTGCTCTGCCAGTGGCTATTAATTTTAACATCCACTATGGATAGAGCGTCTATACCTTATGTTACTTCCCTCCAAATTTGGCTTGATAACTTCACAAATCTGTCTTCTCATAAACATTACAACCATCCCATCTCCTCCCCTTTTCTTTTATTTTTTTTTTTTTGTTTTTGAGACAGAATCTCTCTCTGTCGCCAGGCTGGAATGCAATGGCACCATCTCAGCTCACTGCAACCTCCTCCGCCTCTCTCCTCCCTTTTTCATCAGCAACAAAGTCCTAGAGACTGTCTGGAGATGCTCTCAAGGCCATTATGACCACTGGCAGTCTGAGATCTTAAGAAGTTAACAGTGAGGCCGGGCACGGTGGCTCACGCCTGTAATCCCAGCACTTTGGTAGGCCGAGGCAGGTGAATCACGAGGCCAGGAGTTCAAGACCAGCCTGGCCAAGATGGTGAAACCCCATCTCTACTGAAAATGCAAAAATTAGCTGGGCGTAGTGGTGGGTGCTTATAATCCCAGCTACTCGGGAGGCTGAGGCAGGAGAATCACTTGAACCCGGGAGGCGGAGGTTGCAGTGAGCCAAGATCGTGCCACTGCACTCCAGCTTGGGTGACAGAGCGAGACTCTATCTCAAAAAAAAAAAAAAAAAAAAAAAGGTTAAAGAAGTTAACAATGAGAGCAGTTTGTTTTATTACAGTATGATCATTATCCAAACTTCTATAGCCCTTTTTTAAGAGGTGTATTGGAGATATTGGGTTGCCTCATCACCAGTATACCTGCCTTTTCCCATTGAAGTTCAGAGGACACTTGGCATCGAGTTTGGAATGAGAATATCTAGATTGTGAAAAATTGGAACAGTCTCTAGAATTTATATGGTACTACAGTGCTGCTTCAAAGATTTCAAGTGATATTCCAACTGTCATCTTATTTATGTAGCCATTGTCTCTGAAGGGGGAGATGGCCAAGAGATCTTAATACACCATTCCTCCTGAATGGATGAGTGAGTTATGGGTCCCTGATCCTGATGGAATCAGGTCATGATTTAATGAGTGGCTCTAATGCTCTTTCCAATAAATTTGTACTAGATGTTACCATCTATGTATTTCCCTATAAGCACACCTTAAAGCATTTTGTGATCTGTTGGTTTCTTCTCTCCAGGAGGTTGCCCCAAAGCCTGTTCTGATATCTACCCCCACACCCACCATTGTACGTCCTGGCTCCCTGCCTCTCCACTTGGGCTATGATCCACTTCATCCAACCCTTCCCTCCCCAACCTCTGTCATCACACAGGCTCCACCATCCAACAGGCAAATGGGGTAAGTACAGAGAGCAGGGAGAAATAGTGAAGGCTGCATTTCTTTCTATTACGTGAAACTATTTGATAAAACTGAGACAGTTTTTCAGTACTCAAGGAAAATAAGTCACTGAGATTATCTCTCAAAATAAAATTTTTCCCCGTAAACAGAATCTTCTTTACCTTTTTAATAGACAAGCAAAATATTTATTTGGGGGTAATACTTTCTTAATTTAAGGGTAATACTTCTTTAATCTAAAAAGAGGAGCTCTTAAAACATTAGAAGTTCATTATGGTATGGAAACCACACCCTATAGAAGTCTGTTGGGGTACTGCTGAATGAAACACTGAAACCCATTAAGTCTCCTCAGTTCCAGTTAGGGTTCTTGGTCTTTGCCATCTCTAATTTTATTTGTCTGTTTGTTTTCACTCCTGGCACGGTACCCATGGGTTAAGAGGCTGTTGTCAGGATTCAGATTCTTAGAGCTTATTGTTCTCTGGACCCACTAGGAAAAATAAAAAGAGACAGCTTCTTTTTGGGGCAGGGTAGAGCAAGCTATGGAAAGGAACAAGAGAAACATTCAGATTTGGCCATCATGTGACCTAATCAGTTTTGCAAAATGACGACTTTGATCCAACTCCCCCTTTCCCAAGGCTAGCCAGTTGTAGGGATGTTTAATTGTTCTAAACCCTTTAATAGGATTAGCTTTCTACTATTTGAGTTTGCTTAATTTGCAAAGTATAAAGATGTTGCCATTTTTCTCCATCTATAAGGTAAGTTGAATAGGATTCCCTGCCTTCCCACATGAGGGTGTCAAGATTTTTACCATGCTGCCTTATACCTTCGCTAACTAGAGAAGAGTGGAAAATCTTCTGTAATTATAGGAGGTAGATCCATGGACAAAAGGTCTATGTTATGAGCATTTCACTTCATGTCTCCTCTAGGTCTCCCACTGGCTCCCTCCCTCTTGTCATGCATCTTGCTAATGGACAGACCATGCCTGTGCTGCCAGGGCCTCCAGTACAGATGCCGTCTGTTATATCGGTGAGCTCTGTAGTTGGGGCAGCCAACCCTACCAAGATGGTAATCCTTCCCTTCCACCTGAATGATCATAAAACACACACAAGCCCCAGGGAAATGTGGGCTCTGATCTATATTAGTTGAGCATGGCAGCCTGCCTAAACTCTTCGCTAACCTCTGCCAATCCAGCACTATGGAACACTAGATAAAGACTCATCTGGACAATTGGCTCCTAGTCTAGGAATTGATCTTGCCAGCCCACTGATTAGTTGCTTTCACTTGGCACGTAGCACCTCCCAAATTGCCCAACATTTTCCTCAAGATAACACCCCATCCCTTCCCACAGAAATTGTCCCAACACTGAAGGATTAAATTCCCTACTCTGTGGTGCTCCATGGAGAAAGGTATTTCCCAGGCTGTCCCTGCATGCCCTATGGGCACATTGCACACAACAGGCCCTGATGTGCCAACCTCAAAAGCACTTCATTTTAGGGAAACTGTTGCCCCACTGATAGTATTATGTTCCCTTCTGTTTTTTTTTTTCCCCTTCTCTCGATCCAGCTGGCCAGACCTGTGTCCATGGTGCCCAACATTCCTGGTATCCCTGGCCCACCAGTTAACAGCAGTGGCTCCATTTCTCCCTCTGGCCACCCTATACCATCAGAAGCCAAGATGGTGAGTACATCTCAGCCTGGGGCAATGTTGGCCTTTCTGAAAGAAGTGAGTTATATCAGCCTAGGTCTTTCAAGTGAGCCAAGCAAAGGAACCTTCTGGGACTTGCAAAGCTAAGGACTCCCTGCTGTGGGGTCTGGAAAAGAAAAGACTCTGATTCATAGCTCCCATCTCCTCTCCTCACCTTTAGAGCCTGGTACATAGACCATGGCAGTGAAAAGAGGCAGCACAGATTGTTTGGAATGGAACACTTGCCGTTTTAGTTTTAGGGGTGACAGATGGAGGGTGGGTGAGTGGGCAGGGGAGCTGGCCAAGAGGTGAATAGCTGCGTAACCAGCATTTGGCCAGGCTCCAGAGGAGAGCTTTCATCTGGACACTATTGTTTTAACAACCCCCAGCCCCCAACTGTGCCCAGGATGATAGCCAGGGAACAGAGTAGGCATTTTAGGGATCCAGGTGCACATTTTCTCTGCCTGTCATTTTCTCTTAATTCCTCTGTTAAGGGAGAACTAGAGTGGAAATTTTAGCTATCTATAAGGTCAGTAATAAAATCTAAGGCCACTCTTCTCATCCTTGATAGAATCTCATCCTTAACAAGCGTTTTTTCTTATCTTTGCCTGCAGAGACTGAAAGCCACCCTAACTCACCAAGTCTCCTCAATCAATGGTGGTTGTGGAATGGTGGTGGGTACTGCCAGCACCATGGTGACAGCCCGCCCAGAGCAGAGCCAGATCCTCATCCAGCACCCTGATGCCCCATCCCCTGCCCAGCCACAGGTCAGTGGCTCTTACTCTTTATGTCATATCTTTATGACGTATCTTTATGTCATATCTGTTTTTCAGGGAGCAGAAAATTAGAGAAGAATGGACTTCAGCTTTCTGGGTTTCTTCCTGCTTACTTTGGTTCTTGATGGCAGTTTGACTACAGCAAAACATACCATTCTTTTTATTATTTATTTATTTTTATTTTAACTGAAACCATCATTTAATAGCAAAAACACACCATTCTTTATTCACCCTTGTGTTAGACTTTCATACAAACAGACTGAGTAATGCAGAACTGTTGCGGCAGCAGCCTCGCTTTTTTTTTTTTTTTTTGAGACGGAGACTGGCTCTGTCTCCCAGGCTGGAGTGCAGTGGCACGATCTCGGCTCACTGCAACTCCACCTCCCGGGTTCACGCCATTCCCCTGCCTCAGCCTCCCGAGTAGCTGGGACTACAGGTGCCTGCCATGACGTCTGGCTAATTCTTTTTTGTATTTTTAGTAGAGCGGAGTTTCACCGTGTTAGCCAGGATGGTCTCGATCTCCTGACCTCGTGATCCGCCCGCCTTGGCCTCCCAAAGTGCTGGGATT